AAATTCAGTGTACATATATATAGACTCATAATTTGCTCTTAGACGTGCTTGATATTCTTCTTCATTGAATGGATATTTATCTTTTGGAGATGACACTGCTGGAGCAAACATAATTGTCGTTGCAGTTAATCCACTTATTGCTACAGCTATAGCTCCAATACAAATAGCGAGTAAAGCTATTGCTTCAATCATAATTAATTTAAAATGTTTGATTCTAATAGTTACGATGACGAAGACTGATACAGTTGATATACTTTTTCAAAAAGTATTCACTGTTTTGTAAATGCGAGAAAGAGTACAATATCTTCAAGAAAAGTGACTCTTTTTGGTTGTTATATATTTTTTTTTGTCACACTTCGTGCACATACATGTGTATATATCACATTTTCTATCACATGCAAGAAAACAGCAAAAAATAAAACAATCAAAATAACAAGAGATTCGTCAAAATATCTTAATACGTAGATGTGTCTAACAATAGCTCGTCGTGTACTCAATGTTTATATTGCGGCTTATTTTATAATCACAACTATTTTCATATTAATCATCTAATTAGAATTAACAGATGAAAATCTTTATTTCTATTTTCTATTGTCGATGATTGTTGAAAAATTTTCTCATGTGATAGTTGATTGTGATATTTGCGATGAAAATAACGAAGTTGTTATTTCAATACATTAGATTATCTTTTAAATGTGGATAACGACCAGAGTTGGGAAAATACTCACTTACTCGAGTACGAGTATCAATCTTCCAGATACACTATAGAAAAAAGACTGCTAGTGCAATCCTTGCGGAGTTAAAATGTGAAATACAATGTAGCTAATCTTTTTATTTGCAAAGCTTTTATTTTAATCCATCTGTTTTGCGGCACATAAGTCACGTTATTACTTAGTTCTTCAGAAGTGGAATCAAACAGCAGACTATATATTATGATAATGCGTTCTTGATGTATGATTTTCGATTATGTATCAAGAACACCACGCATAACTAGCGACAGGGTCTCAGTTTGTTTCTCACATTCATCAAGGAATATGTTACTAATGGAATATTAATGAGATATTATTTATTGAGTAAATTATTAAAATTTTCTTTCACGATTTGTGGAGGGAATGATGGTTGAGAGGTTTTTCCATCCATCGAGCCATTCTCTAGATTTTTAACGACCGATATCGGCCTGAAAATTCCAGACTGAAGCAAACCGACAAGACTAAAAGTAATAAACCGATCTATGTATATTTGCCGGTCTACAGTTACATTAGCCGTCATAAGTAGCCGCTATTGAAAAAACGAGCAAGACAAAGGAGTTATTTGGTTATATTTTATTTATGAAATCTACATTATATGTGCATCTTCTTCATAATTAATATAATCGCTTTTGCTTTCAATTAACAATGCTACTCTATTTTCTATAGAATCGCCTAATTTTTCAGCAAAGTCTTTAGCTAAGTTTTTCTATTCTTTGTTTTTGATTCTTTCAATGAAATTATTGATTGATATATACGGTTCTTTGTTTATTCTGAGCTTCATTTAATGCCCAAACATTTTCACTTGAATCACAGTCTTTGAGTTTTATATCCTGCGGGAGTCTTTTTAAAGATATCGTCACTTGTTAGCAACGGTTTCGAAGTCGGTTTCATTGAATGTGCACCAGCCTTTTTAAATCTTCTTCTTAATGTGGTTTTACTTATTTTTACATCTTTCTGTGATAATCTAAATGCAATTTAATCGACAGATTCGATTGAATGTTGAGCTACCATCGATTGAATCATTGCATATTGTTTTTCCGATATAGGCCGGATTTTTGTGCAACTTCTACGTCACCAACCATTTCATAGCTTTTAAGCCTAGATTTTACAATTACTCACTGATTCGTACAACTACCGTGAAATATCAGCATTTGACATATGTGGGAAATAGCTCTGCCTTGATAGAAAGATGATTTCTCATCTTCTCTTTAAAAAAAGGTTTATTTTCTATTAAGTTATAAATTGATAACAGCATGAGTATAAATGTTCCTATTTATATGGGATGATGAGCGTGTCTAGTCCATTCAAACAAAATGAAAAGATAAAAGAAAGGTCACTGTTGAACAACGAAAAGAGCGCGCGTCCACTTATGGCGGGTATTGTATTTACCAGTCTATTGATAATTGCTGATCTATCAGTAATAGATTGATTGTCACAATGGAATTTAGGTTCCTAGTGAACTTTCACAAGTTATCAACTTAGTTCACGAATCTAAAATATCTGAACATTTGTGTGGTAATATTCAATAAGTAGTTTTCTTTAAAAAAATAGCAATGACCTGAATATCAATGCATTATAATTAACTTGATCACATGGTCATAATACATTCATTGTTGTCAATATTTTAGCCTAAAATATGCATACAATGTCGATATTGACAAAAATAATAATATATTGATACTCAGATTGCTGCTCTTTTTGAAAGAAAACTACACATCGAATATTATCACACCAATGCTGAGATATTTTAGATTCATGATCTAGGTTGGGAACTTGTGAAAGTTGACTAGGAAACAAAATTTCATGGTAAAAATCGATCTGTTACCTATAGAGCAGCATCTATCGCTACAGCGCGCTATTAGCGGTAGGCAGGCTAGTATCGCTTCCATCTATGATGTGTATCCAAATTTTTACCGTGTATACTTCAACACTTCTGTCCGATTGTTTTTCACAAAAAAGAATGGAATTATAAACCTTTGCTCCATGTAAAAGTTTTCATAAACTCCGATCAGAGTTTACAAGTACCAGGGTTGGAACCGATAGGAGATTGATAAAACGGTCCGGTCCGGCCGGTTAAAAGTTGCTCTTGAACCGGTGAATTTCCGGCAAATCGAACGGTAACTGATGACGCTGATTTCTTGAAAGTTATTCCAGATAGCCAAACTATGCTAGAAATAGAATCGATGGCGTCAATTCTAGCTTTGAACTTGATTAGCTAATGGTTAAATAGAACTGTTCAACCTGTTTGATACAGGTCTTCATATTATAGATGTAGATAGCTGAAAAGTTTGTCTTTTCTCATTAACTTTCAAAGAATAAGACCACCTTCTGAAGAAATTCGGCTAAGAAAAACTATTTTGAAAATATATTTTAGAGAATTTCAGTTCTTGATGAAATATCATTAAAACTTTCAACAAGCATATAGGAAACAGATGTGCAATCTTTACAATTCATCAAGGGTGTGAGTGTGAGTGTGGGTGTCGTCTTAGACAAGATCAACACCCACACCCTTATTTCATCTTCTTTATAGTAAAATTCACAAAATACTTTCTTTTTTTTTTACAAAAAATAGTTAAATAAAGGTATTTATTTTTAAATTTCAACCGGCAAATTCTCGGTACTGTCCAGCCCGGTTGACTTTCTAAACTGGTCCGGCCGGACAGGTACCGGTTCCAACTCTGACAAGTACAGCATATAGTAGACCTCTTTTTACCATATGTGAAGACATTCATATACTCTTTCATAATTCCTTTGGAGAGTCTATTAAAGTATTGCAAATACAAACCACAATAACAAATACAAAGCTTTTCAAAACGATCGATTTTATTCATTATGAAATGAAGAAAGAAGGAAGGATCGATGACTTATTCAAACACCAATTGTATATATGGCATTACTTATGGAGCATAAGTGAATTAACAAAAAGGATAATAAAAAAACATATGACAACTATTCAACGACTGTCTGTCGAATAAATGCTCAAATGCATATTCACATTGATCGAAAAGAAGTCATCAACAGTTCGCATTGTTTTCGAACAATACAAATCAAGAGAAGTTTTTGATAGAACATACTGAACACCTACTCTGTGAAATATAAGAGGCTCAAGTACCTGTACGAGTACCGACCTCTTAAGTGTGGGTACGAGTACGAGTATTTCGTCCAGCTCTGCCTAGGGGGGAGGTGTCCCGAAAAAATCACGAAAGGGATGGGGAATCAAGCCGACTGATCACATGATCATATGAATATTTTGCTTTTGATACACAGAACTTTTCCCGAGATATGGCTCACCCTTGATGGGAGTAGAGCGATCTTCGCAAAGCCACCCCTTGGCTCCGCTCACGACTCTTTGTGGAACAAAGAAAAAGTTCGCAAAGCTATCTCCCTTGGCTTCGGCCACGGGTTTTCGTAGAACATGAGGAAACTTCACACAGCTATTCTTCCTTAGCTTGGTCACGGGTTTTCACAAAACATGAGAAGTCTGCCGTGCTACCCCCTTCTCCCCGCTTGGTCATCACTTTTTTATGAAAAATCAGAAAATTTGCAGGAATTTTTTCTGAAAAGTTTTTTTCTATTGTAGAAACGTGATTAAACAAGTTTTATATATAATTAGAAAGTCAACGGAAAAATCTTTTTTCTAACTATTTAAATCAAACTTTTATGATCAACCGGCTATATACAATGGAGATATTATCATCACCGATCATCATGTCATAGTTCATTAAAAAAAGTCCGATATTCAACAACGATTTCAGAAGTTTCGATAGAAGTTTGGAGTAGTTCAAACTTGGATCTTAGATCAGACGCTAACATATATTTATCTATGAATTGTTAATTATATGAAATACATTTGTATACTATTTTTATTCCAATATAATTCACTCGATGAACTGGATTCATTTCAATTAAACTCTGATTATATATTTTGTTTATTATGATAAAATTGTCATATATAATTCAACGAAAAAAGATTAATTTGTAACAAACATGATTTATATTGTAAATTTCATATAAAATATATAAATAAGTTTTGTACATAT